CCAAGCAGCATCAGAGGAGCAGGAAAGCTGATGTTTCGGGTCGAGACCCTTTTTCATTTCTGCTTGGCCTGCTGCGTTCATCCAGCTCTACACCTTGTTATCTCAGATTCTCCAGCATCTGCAGTTCCTACTATCACTTCCATAATGGAGGCATTTTATTCAGTTGCATTCACTTTGCCAAGAAGTCATTGAAACACAAGCGACTAAAAGCACATCTTCCTCATAATGCCACAGTTATTCAAAGAGTGACCGACCTTCGGCCATGCTTCTTTTGTTTGGTTGGTTGACATTCTCCTCCTAGTCTTAGAATACCTCTTCTCGCTGCCATCAACAATTAATACCTCAAGGAATGCATCTGAGATACATGGGGTTATCCTGGTATAGACAACTGATCTGGTGTTGCCTGGCGACTTGTTTCTCTCTTCCATCTGTGCCAGAAACTGTTACTATTATAATAGTTGCCATTTGTTATTTAAATCAACCCCATTCACAGCAACTCCTGATTCCTTGCCTCAGCCACTGTGCATAATTGAACAATGATATCAGCAGCAGGACAAATGGCCTTTACTTTCAAAATTGCATCATGCATCTAAAGATGTGGGATTGCACTTCTGAAGCTCCTAAATTTGGAATTCTGGACTCAGGCGAAATCCAGGCTATTATTTCCAGTTCTGATCTGGCGAAGCCACAGGTATTGTCTGCTTTCTTGGTCTGCCTTTCACCTTAAATTCCTTGTGCTCTATCTTTCTTTCTTGATTTGTGTAATAATATTAAACTAAACGTCCAATTCATATGGCTATTGGATCTCCAGAAGGCAATTATTTCCAGTACTGGCCTTTATCCATCAGCCCACCACAATGACCAACTTTCCTTAACTTTACTTTAACCAAGTAATTTACATGTATTCGATACTCCTTTAATGTAATTCAACTATTACCAGAGTAGATGAAGACCAAGAGTGCATTGATATCAATATCACAGCAGATTCCCATAGATTGTCAGCCTGTTTCCACTATGCACTGATGAACAATGTCTTCACCATCTGCTCCTGCTCACTTATACAGTATTGTGGCCTTCATCATGTGATCGATCAAATACCTGTCCTCCTGTTCCTCCTGAGCTATGTACCTGAGCTGGTTAAGGATAGACATGAGTCTTGTGATGGAGTTTCCTGAAAGTCTGTCACCATGTCATTGGATTTCCTTCTTCCCCGTGAAAGGAATTGGAGATTTTTGTCGGACTGTGGGATATGAAAATGTGAAAAAGAATTTATAATGTTGTCTGTTTGAAGTCATGAATTTGCAAGTCACACTTCAGTGATTGTTAATGTCAAATCACCAGGAGTGTCACACGTAATGGAATGGTATAATATTATAGTTCTGTCATCAGGTCATTGTGAGACTTCTCCGCTCCAGCATTAATGGCCAGGTATTTGAAGATTCAGCCTACGTCCATCATCTCCTCCTCCTCTATTATCATCAGAGGAACTACTGCTCATAGGTCAACACTGTCACTCCCCACCTCCTCAAGTTCTCGATCTCTCCTTGGTATTCTTCTGTAAGGAGAGAAAGAGTCAATGAAGGTGAGCTGTGGAATGCTTTGTAAGGATGAAAGGATATCATTTATAGAGGATCAAAGTGCGGGACCAGTGTGACATTGCTGTGGCTCAGCTGGGGATTACTGATCAGATGGAAATTTGAAGAGGTGCCTTGAGAGAGAGAGTGATGGAGATCAATGCAGCGTGTGCTGGCCCAAGGAATGATTTGCAGAAGTGGGAGGCAATTTTAGATAGTTAACACTTCTTACCTTTGCTGACCACATCAGGTCATTGAACCCCTAGTAACACTGTGCACAGGAGTGAGGTGCCACAAATCTGCTGTTGACTTCTCTATCATTTTCAGCTATGTCTGTTTGTTCTTTGTGGTTCCTTCTCCATTCCATAGGGGACAGAACTTTATGTAGGTTCTCACACACTAGGCCTTGACTTCCAGGAACATCTCAGAGAACCAGGGTGCAATGCTCTAATGTTCAGTCTCTAATCTGGATTCTTGGGAGTTCCATCCATAAATTCTGGAGTCTCTTTACACTTGGGTGCTGAAATAGATAGCTGTAGGTCATCATCATGCCCACCTTGCTTCATTAAATTGGGAAATCCGGGAGCCACTTGACAAGTACACACTGAAATGTCCAAATTTCTAATCCACTGCAGGTTTTTATTGTCATCAGTTTATTTGCTGGCCTCTTTATGTTGATACCTACAACTCTTCAGCGTTAACTTGCTTCTGGCAACAGCTGGAGTAGCAGTGAAAAACCTTACATTCACTGTTGGGCACAACAAAAATAATTGAGGGCTTCCGTATTTATATGTTTCATATCTCAGGACAGCATATATAAACAACTGTGTTAAACACCAACAGCACTATATTCTTTTCCAGTTTGCAGCAACAAAACTGATCCTATATAACCTAATTACATGAAAAGGTTTATTTAAACACAGGACAAATTGATAGGATTGTCTTATACTCATATTACACAATGTTTAAAAGATGGTTACAAGCTTGGATTCAAATTAAAGACATCTAGACTCCAACCACTGGAGGAAGTAAATTCACTGTTTAGTTTTAGTGTCAACCAAAATATACACCTATGCTTATGGTTATAAGTCTGGCATCCTCTTGATCCACGTCCCTTTATTTCCTTGTTTAATAATAATCCTTCCCCTCTGTCAATATTTTAGCACTTTTTGTGTGTGTGTACCACATTCACTGACTTCTCAGTTTGCATTGGTTGCCTTTCTTTCCTCACTGTTGCTCAGAGTACTTACCCTGGATTTCAGCCATTTCAGTGTCAAGACAGACAGCTAATGAGAACCTTACCTGAAGTGGATGACACAGACCACTCCATGATTTGTACCAATTACAGGTCTAAAACTATAACCAAAGAAAATTGTGTAAATGCGACAGTGTGTGAAGTGGATTCAGAGACCTGCAGCGTGGCACTGATAAGAGTGTTTGAAAGATAGGGTCTGGTTCTCAGCACTGACAAAGTAGTCCAACCTGAAGCACATTGCTACAATACAAGAGCTCTTAAAGGTGCATCAGGGGAACTAAGTAATACAGATTTACTTTAGGCTTGTACAATGTCTGTTCTTTTGTGATTTTCTGGTAGGTTCATACATTGTCTGCAGGTATGTTTATCTGAAATGTTTTTTTTAACTTTGTAATAATATTGCAACTTGTTCAAATGTTTTATCTGTGGCATCTGTCAAGTACAGGGATTGTATACTCCAGTACTGTAAAATATTGGAATTGCAGGTGACACTTTATCTAAATATACTATAATTTTACTTGTCAGGGAGTGCAGATTCCGAATCATTCTGTAGAAAATTAAAAACAACACACACACAACTAACAGGACACAATGATTCATTTTGAATTTATTCCAGAATAGTAAAATGGTCAAAAACAAATGTTCATGAAATGTATCAATTATTGCAGATGACTTGATTGTCTAATGCATAACCACAATCTCGTACATTTCAAATCCAACATTTTACAATACACTAAATCAATGTCAATTTACTCACTCTGTACACAGTTACTGATGCAGGCAGCGTCCTGTCACTGCATTCATCATGGAAGTAGAGAAATTTGCACAATCCTGTTTTAAGCATTAGTCATTCCAAATCCGTAAGCAAAGTTGGCCCAAAGGCTATTTGTTTAATGCTGTATTAGCTACTAACTTTCTGGCACAGGCCATAACCCAAATCAATATCCTGTATCTAGTTCCTGGGTGCATGTACAATATCCGTCCACCCCTTCAAGATAAATTGATGGGATAAGGTTTTTACTAAAGCAAATACTACAGCTAGATTTTCCAATATATAATATGCAAAGTTAGAAGCAGCATAATCCATGGGCTACAATGGGGATTGCCTTTTCTGAAAGAGAACATAGTGGTGTCTTGGATATTGATGGTAGAATCATCTAGTCCCAAAGCTACTGAAATCAATGATTTGTTTGATCTGCATAATATATTGAGATTCTGGCAACGGTATTGCTTTCTGGCAATTTGATGGGAGCCTTAATTTACAGTAATATTGTACTGAAACTGACTCTGCAAATCAAAATGGGAAAGAGTGTTTTGGATTGTATATGAGTTTCCCTCATTTATCTGGGATCAATTTTGAAAATACCACAATCAAACCAGTAAAAACAATCAGCGTCCTCCTTCATTGTTACCTGAACATTGCTTCAGAAAAGTCTTTTATTTCACAGTAAATAGAGTCATGGAGTAATATAGCATGGAAATAGATTCCTCAGTCCAACTCGTCCATGTTGACCAGATGTCTTAAATAAATCTAGTCCTATTTGCCAGCATTTGGCCCATATCCCTCTAAACCCTTCCTATTCATGTACCCATCGAAATGCCTTTTAAATGTGGTAATTGTGCCAGCCTCCACCACTTCCTCCAGCAGCTCATTCCATACATGCACCACCCTCTGTGTGAAAAAGTTGCCCCTTAGTTTCCTTTTAAATCTTTCTCCTCTTATGTTAAACCTATGCTGTCTAGTTTTGGACTTCCCCACCCCAGGGAAAAGACCTTCTCTCTTTACCCTATTCATGCCCCTCATGATTTTATAAACCTCAATAAGGTCACACTTCAGCCTCCGAGGCTCCAGGGGAAATAGCCCCAGCCTATTCAGCCTCTACCTGTAGCTCAAACCTTCCAAACTGGCAACATCCTTGTTAATCTTTTCTGAACCCTTTCAAGTTTCACAATATCCTTCCTATAGCAGTGACACCAGAATTGCGCACAATATTCCAAAAGTCGCCTAACCAATGTCCTGTACAGCTGCAACATGACCTCCTAACTCGTAGTCAGTGCGCTGACCAATAAAGGCCAGCATACCAAAAGCCTTCTTCATTATCCTGTCTACTTGGGACTCCAATTTCAAGGACTTATGAACCTGCACTCCAAGGTCTTTTTGTTCAGCAACAAAAAATATGGAACACTTCGTGAATTAGCGTGTCATCCTTGTGCAGGGGTCATGTTAATCTTCTCTGTATCGTTCCAATTTTAATTTATACGCTACTGAACTGAGCACTGAAATGTGTGAACTTGTGAACTTCCAAGATTACAATGAAACATTGCTGCAGATCCCTGGTGGAGTGTTGTGCAATCCATGGCAAGAGAAGCAAGGCATGAGCTATGACAATGACTATCGAATGATAAAAGGAAGGAATCATAAGAAGGGCCCAGAGTGGAGTGTCTTTTGGGAGACTCAGATGAGGACATTCGGTGATATGGATCTACCTGCAATGTGGAAGACATTGTTGCATTTACAAATATGTCCTTCATTGCATTGTGGCAATGCAAATAAATATATTATTGCTGTGTCTGTTTTATAATCCATTTTTACAAGACAAGTACATTTTGCTGGTAAAAGGAACAAAACCAAGAAGGCATAGATTTAAAGTGATGTGCAAAAGAAACAAGGCTGATGTGAGGAAAATAATTTTTCATTCGGCAAGAAGTTATGGTTTGGAATACACTGTCTGGAAATGCAGGGGAGACAAGTTCAATTGAGGCATTCAAGAGGGTAAGGGTATGGGGAGAAAACAGGAAATTGGCAATAGATAATAATGCATGTTTGAAGAGCTGGAACAGGCACAATAGGCCAAATGGCTTCCTTCTGCACTGTAACATTTCTGTAATTCTGTGATTTCAATTACCTCATCGCCTTCAATGTTGTAGGGGAGTTATTATGAGCAGGAGGAGGCCAAATGGCCCTTCGAGCCTGCTCCGCCATTCTTCACGATCATAGTTGATAATCCAACTCAATAGCCTAATCCTGCTTTCTCCCCATAGCCTTTGATCCCATTCACCCCAAGTGCTACATCTAGTCGCCTCTTGAATACATTCAATGTTTTGGCATCAACTACTCCCTGTGGTAATGAATTCCACAGGCTCACCACTCTTTGGGTGAAGAAATGTGTCCTCATCTCCGTCCTAAATCACCTACCCCCAATCTTCATATTGTGACCCCTGGTTCCGGACACCCCCACCATTGGGAACATCCTCCCTGCATCTACCCTGTGCAGCCCTGTTAGAATTTTATAAGTCTTTATGAGATCCTCCCTCATTCATCTGAATTCTAGCAAAAACAATCCTAACCAAGTCAATCTCTACTCATACATCAGACCCGCCATCCCCAGAATCAGCCTGGCAAACCTTCGCTGCACACCCTCGAGAGCAAGATCACCCTTCCTCAGAAAAGGATACCAAAATTGCACACAGTATTCTAGGTGTCATCTCACCAAGGCCCTGTACAACTGCAATAGCACATCCCTGTTTCTGTACTCAAAACCCTGCGCAAGGAAAGCCAACATACCATTTGCCTTCTTTATTGCCTGCTGCAGCTGCATGCTTACCTTCAGCGACTGGTGCACGAAGACACCCAGGTCCTGCTGCACACTCTCTCTCCCAATTTACAGCCATTCAGGTACTAATCTAACTTCTTGTCTTTTGCTTCCAAAGTGAATAACCTCACATTTGTCCAAATTATACTAAGGCATTCAGGATCTTGCTTTTCAGCTGGATATCCTCTTTTTGGGAAGTCCTGCTGAGCTGCAATCCAGCCAGGCACTGAGGAGGGCCTGTGCTTGACCCATCTGAGAATTAAAACCCCAGCAAAACCTGCCATCCAATGAGAGGCTGGTACATCCGGCTCTGAGGAGCTCCCTAGGCAAGGTGATAGCTATTGCCAGAAGAACACTACAGTAATTTCAACCAGGTGGACCTCAACTATGAGGTACTTGATTGGGGTTATTAACCTGGGCCAATCAGAAACCTCACAGTCAATGATGTCCATCTGGTCCCAATCACTACAAACATCATAGGAGTCCCACTGTTATGGAGCAACACAACCACGAGTAAACAATGTGGGGTGGAGAGTTTGATGTTCATTGAGGTCATGGGGAAAAGAATAGAATGGTGGTAGAGGTGCTCACAGTAGCAAGAGCAAATGTGTAGCTGTCACCGACCCCTCTCCCACTCATAATGTCCAGCCTCTTGATTGAGTACCGAGTGTCTTTGCTTGAGCAACCTCACTCCCAGAGGAACAAACTGGTCACGCATATTCATCTACTTAAATGTCCTCACCTCCAAACTTGCCACCAGCAACAATGAAAAATTCTACCCTTGCATTGGGAATTCCAACTACAGGATGGTATTGACTTGAACTGAATTTCAAATTTATTTCCATTCCTGCCCTTCAGTTCTCAGACAGCGGACAGAATATCCTGAACATCAAAAATAATTCAGGGTTAGATCCATTCTAGGCTCTGTAATGGCTGTAGAACATTTGAAAAACGAATGTCCCAGACCCTATATGGGACATTAATGTGTACAACAATCCATAAGAATGATACTGGCCACTTCTGCATTTTAACACTGTCATTGGATATGCAGGGAACGTTTGGTCAGTCTTGGATAATGCCTCTCAATTGTTGGAGCATAAAATGAATCAATTGGCAGGCAACCTCAAGGGAACAAAGGCTCCCTCAAATACTTGTGGAATTGTACCACAGTTGTGATTCACTGACTGAAACCACTCCAGCCCACTCAAGATGGCTTTAGGGGCAGGAAGGTGGCCAGGAAATCAAGTTCGCTAACTGCAACAGTGTTGTTAGAATCCTCTCTTCTGCTCATAGACACTTGCACACACTTTCTACCAGTGGTTGTCATTGGGCAATAATGGGAAGGTGGTACCTGTCCTCATAATTTCCATTCATCACTGAGCTACAAGTCCCTCAGCACAGATAAAGGAGTGAACTAGGGTAAGATCATAAGAGCTAAGGAGCAGCAGAAGGCAATTCACCCCATCAAAACTGCTCTGCCTTTCAGTACAATCATGGGTGATCTCATATTGTCATCAACTGCACTTTTCTGCCTGTTCCTCATAACCCACAACCCATTACTAATTAAAAGTCTGTCTATCTCCTCCCAAATGTATTCAGTGAGAGATCTGAGGAACCTGACCTGCACCAATCAATAACACAGATGATAATGGATATGTCCATTGAGCTATCCAGGGAACATATTAGAGATTCCACATAAAATATCTATCTGCAAATGAATTTAACCAGTAGGTTTAAACCACAAAACTCAATCAAGAATAAAAGGGATAACTGCAAAACATAACTTTTGTGTACATTTATGCTTTGATATATTTGTATGTTAATTAAATGTATTTCCTTTTATATGATGGCTTTCAAATATTTGTGGTTGTTATGACCTTCAGTCTCAGTGTTTATTTGGATTATGGTTTATGGTTATTCAAGAACTGTAAGTAATGTTGATCTCGCTGTAGTTCAGAACCATGCCAGATAATTATGAATTGTGGATGTTAGTTTTACCGTAATACTTGCTTTGCTCAGTTTAATTATACATGCATAAAATTTGATCTTGAAGTAACAAATTTGATGTGCACTTTGTTTACAAATGAGAACTATAATTTAATTTTAATATATGTACTCTTCGCAGAAGGTCACTCAGCTCATTTGCTAATACTCCCAGGAAGTTTGTCACAGAAGTGCCTTCATGGACATAGTTGTAAAGCTCTTTATTCGGTTCACACATGCAAAGCATTGGGAAAAGCCAGAATTTGCAATGTCTGTAAAGGACAAATAAAAAGATCGACTAAATACATTAAACATTCTGTACAGTTAAAATAACAACAGGAGCTCAAGTTAATTATTCCTGTTTCACAATTCAAGACTAACATGATTAAGTTAAGAAATTGGTACTTATAAAATCATTGTGCTTCTTTTCAGCTCGATTATATTTATATTTTTTTAGAATGATTTTCCTGAATTGCGTGTTTTGTTTCCAATAACCAAAAGATCAGCATTTGAGGTTGGTTGGCTCGCCAAACTGGTTTGTTGTTCCACAGACGTTTCATCACCCTGCTGGGTAACATCGTCAGTGCAGCCTCAGATGAAGCGTCGGAGTCTTTTCCCGCCTGGTTTTTAAACTTTGTAGTCTGTTGAGCTGGACTGCCTCACTTCCGGTTTTCCTTCGTAGTGGAGTGTATATGGGGTCGAGTTCTATGTGTTTACTGATGGCTTTCTTCGTGGAGTACCAGGCTTCTAGGAATTCCCGTGCCTGTCTCTGCTTAGCATGTCCCAGGATTTTGGTGTTGTCCCAGTCAAAAGAGAGATAAGAAGAACTACCAATTCAACTGGGACTAGATAGACCAACACTTCACCTGCACTTCCAAGAATCTAGTCTACTGCATTCGCTGCTCACAATGTGGTCTCCTCTACATTGGGGAAACGAAGCGTAGACTTGGCGACCGCTTCGCAGAACATCTACATTCTGCTCGCAAAAAAGACCCCAAAAAAGACCTCGAACAGTTCATCCACTTCACCAGCACCTTCCACCCCAACCTTAAGTTCACCTGGACCATCTCTAATACCTCTCTCTCCTTCCTGGACCTCTCTGTCTCCATCTCAGGCAACCACCTAGAAACCAATATCCATTTCAAGCCCACCGACTCCCACAGCTACCTAGAATACACCTCCTCCCACCCACCTTCCTGCAAAAATGCCATCCCCTATTCCCAATTCCTTCGCCTCCGCCGCATCTGCTCCCAGGATGAGGCATTCCACTCCCGTACATCTCAGATGTCCTCGTTTTTCAAGGACCGCAACTTCCCCCTCTCAGTGGTCGAGAACGCCTTCCACCGTGTCTCCCGCATTTACCGCAACTCATCCCTCACACCCCATCCCCGCAATAACAACCAAAAAA